TCTTATATAAGGCAAGCAGCGTCAATACAAGCAAGACTTTGAACGACGATTACAAAGTCTCAGCAGCTCTAGTTTAGTGCAGAAGGGATCGGATAAATCGACGTGGCCGACTTGAACGCTTGCGACCCCTGTGTATTGCTGATGTCAGAAGTATTTATATATCGAAGACTGTACCGCTATGTAGTTATGTTCTCGTTCATGTACTCACTTATTCCGAGTCGATGCCCTACTAGGATGTTCCAATAAGGAGGAGGAGGGAGGGGAGGAAAATATGGAGATTTTGTACGAGTAATGCATGTGAATTTCATTGACCGCCGTGGAATGCTTTGGCAGCAAGATCGATTCATGATTGGCTGTGTCGTATGGTTCCTCTGGCACAGAATCAGAAGAAAGTCGACAGAGCAAAGCTCAATGAACCCTGCGATATTCGTGACTCGTTACAAATAATAATGAGTTGCATGACATGTCGGGGTAATCTGTTAACTTGTCACAATGCTGGTTCGCTGGTTGCAGATGTTTGGAACCGCAATCGAGTAGCTGCAATCACCCAATCACCTGTGATATGAGGCGGTTCAATGGACAACGGACACCTCCTCACCATTGCCGAATGACTGCCATCCGCGATAATGGTCAAAAGTTATATGCTAGTCTCTGAATCCATTCAACTTGAAGTTGCACAGAGGATTGAAATTGTAACTCGCACGTACATGGTTCCAGAGGAGGGGGGATGGAAAATATCACCGTAGTCAACACAACCTCCATATCCAATGCAATATTATATATTATACAAGAGGTATGGTTGCTTTGTTATCATTATTTAGAGTGATCACCCAGTGTTACAGAGGAGGTAAAGGGTAGCGTTGAGGTTGTCTGCTGGATCCCGTTCGATGTAAAGCAACCTCGTACCCAAGTAGCCTACAGAAACTGTGAGTTAGATGTGGAATTCTATTATTCACTTTTGACCACGAAGGAAGAACTCGGACGCCCATGAAGAGCGAGAGGCCACGACGAGAACAGTTTAGACTGAGAGATATTCTCGCAGCCTGTGCAAGGGAAGAAGGGATATAAGTTTTCAGAACATTGAAGACACCTCGATATAGATACATGCCCATTCGCGAGCCAAGTAGGGACGAGAAGGGAAAGAGGAAAACAATTCAAACGACGTATCCCTCTCGAGAAGAGAGCACTACCCTGACAAGAGAGGCAATTACTCAACTAAGCCAGAGGATCTTACATCGTTCATTTACGTGTGGGTCATGCCCACCCTACAGCCGCAAACGGTCGCAAGACTCCCTAGACCATCTCCCCCGTAACCCACTGGGATAACGTCACCTCCTTGAGTTAAATAAGAAGGTAATACCATATAAGCGAGAAATGAGAAAGTGGAGACCGAGAAGTTCATAGGCATGACACAGAATTGAACTGAAGAAAAAAATGGAAACCAAGGGGCCCCATGTCATTGGTGTTCCTCTAGATTATACGACGCTTGTTAAAGAAACAAAGCTATTTAGTACTTCGTGAGAGGAGAGAAGTCTAATAATGATAATACAACAAAGATCAGCATTCTCATAAACATCAAATCACAATTGTTAACCTGACGGCTGACCTCTCGATCATTGTCCCTGCTATTTCCACTGTTTGTACCGGGGGCTTCAACAGTTGATATAGAAGCTGTGCTTATAGCAGTCAGCTGAATAGATTTCCATTCTTCGTTGCTCCCTGATAGTTTTGTTCGTAGGTTATCTCTACTATTGAGAGTTGCCATGAGTGCATTGTGATAAACTGATGTGGTTGAAAATTCACAATGATAAGAGCATCATCTCCTCTATCGAAATTAACTGAAACTCACATTTGGGTAGAATGACATATATGCCATTGAAGATCAAATCATCTGGCATCACAAGATACTGTTGATAATGTTAGGCCTCTCAGGAAACCGCTGGTAAAAATCAATAGAGTTTGGAACACACTGTGATGAGGATCGCGATTGAAAGAAGACTGAAGAAAACATTTTAGGCCATTGTGACATTGAGAAATAGGCTACAAAGATGTCAAGTCTCCTGGACTTTACCTTGTCACTACACCGGTGTGTAGACAAAATTGCATTAATGTATCAATTTGAGATTCGGTTCTGGTAGGAAGAAGAGGTTTTTGGTGTGCACGTCCAAGTATAAGAGAAGGGATTATCATACCTTTGAGCTGCAGAAGACTTCATTCTCCATAAATAATAACAAAGGGTGATGGCGATGAATGTGTCCGTAAATGCAAGGGTAGATAAGGTCCATATAACTAACCACTGAACGAATAATTCGATTAAGAGGGTCTGGGCTGGGAAAATGGTACAAAAGAATCATACCTTCGCACTGCAAACACTGACAAAATTGCCTAGTTGAACACTACGAATATCAAAATTCATCAGTAGCCATATTTAAGACACCATCTACATGACGACTCACTACTGATGTGCCAGTGCTAAATAGAGGTATTTAATGGATTGAAATCTATTGACATTGAGACTTATAAGAAAGAGACATACCACTGGATGCAGCTAGAATCCTTCGTTCAGATCATGATTCGGAGAGGAGGGTGTAATCAGAGGAACTTACACATAATGATGCTGTTCGTAGTAAACTGGAAATTATTAGATACTTGTACCAATATGAGGCACACTCGTATCCTGAAATGCACAGAAATAATGCAGGGTAGTGGCTTTTGCTCACTACACTTTACACTCAATCAACAACCATCAAAAATGAAGGTAGCACTTACATCTCCACATTCAATAAATAAATGTGCTGTGTGACGATAGTAGAAATTTCAATGTGCTGCACAACTATATCAAAATAATCTTCTCACCATTGGATTGTGAAATGAAATATAGACTGAGGATACAGAAGGCCTTCAGCAATTGAGTCATATTAGGAGATAATCTCGTTAAACTTACTGAAGTTGATAGGAATGCCTGCCCATAGTAAGAAAAAAGGATTTGTAAATATGCGGGATGTGCTACTTGAGCTATCTCAACAGCTCACCACTATTGACCTATGGTTCGAGGATATTGAAGCCGTGATTTAGAATTAAAATAAATGAAAGCACATACCACGTTATCCGTATGGCAGCTAGAGGGTCCATGAAGTTGGTGATAACAATCGTATAGATGGAGACAGTGAGAAATATCGTCAATAGAACATCCGATATCCTGTAATGACTGATCAGTGACCCGGAATCATAAACAATGTTGCACAAGGCCTTTGCCTACCACAGAATCCCAAGCTGTTTCAATGAAAGTTCATCTCAAAATCACTAAATTCCTTGAGATATCTACTACATACCAGGTACCTGAATGGTGTTCTATCGTTATTCAGAATGCTGAAAAAATAGCTGTATGTCTGGAGAGTGCTTATACCAGTTAAACTATGGAGGAGTTTGAATCAAAAAGCTCTCAGACAGAACCTCGCATGGTCAACTGACAATGTTGAAATGACTAAGCCTATAGGCGATGATGATGAGTTTGTTGAATCTCATACAGTCTGATAGAGATTGAAAACGCACCGATGAACTCAGCGCCTATAGTGGTATTCAGATTGATAGCAATAGGGAGTGAGTCAATGGGCAAACAGCCAAGGGACATGGTTTGACGACGATTTGGGCAGCTAGGTGGGGGAAATAGTATTGCATGCTCTAGCGTAGCATACCTATACTTATACATATCCAGGGTCTGCGCACAGTATTGTTATATGTAGAGGTGTACCCTTTTCTTTCAAATAAAGGTCAATACCAGCATGACTTCCACTTGACGGAATCTTCTGGGATCATCATTTCATCTTGACATGCATTGTAGTTGGACATCTTCCAAAACCCGAGATGAGAACCCTATTGTCAAACCCTCGAAGTTTGGTGAAAGCAAGCAATTGTCACTTTAAAGTGCTTCGACGTCAGTTCAGCGACGGGATTGAAGCTGAGTTGATTACTGGTTAAGAAAACTGACTTACGTTAACATCATCAGCCTTCCAACCCTCAAAACGTATCCTATAGACAACTTCGATAATAAAAAATAAAGCAGCATGCGGACGGTGCGAACCCAACTCACCTCGAACAAGTCGAAGCTTGAAGCTTGAAGTTCAAGATTGAACGTTACTCGCAGAGACTGTAGCTACTATTACTAATTGACTATTAATAGTAACTCACGCCTCGTGTTTACCACTCTCCGGCCAACTTTGATTTCAATCGCTCAACACCGGTGCCGAAAAATATATCTGCCTCCCACGTACTCGAGTACTTGCCACAGTCCACGACTCCCTTTCGCTTTTATTGACTAGTCTCGTCACAAGACCCCGGCTCTGCAAGCGAGAAATTTGCGTGGAACCTATTTATTAATGTAAGGTGAACAACGTTCTGTCATTAGTTTCAGTACCAATCTTGCTTATGCATTGAACATATTGTGGGTATGTAGTAGAGTCACGGTTATCTTGCCTACAATATCAGAGAGAAACAAAGCTAAGGACCAATTGATTACATCACGCAGCATCATTTCACATTTGACAAAAGTTGTTAACCTAGATGACTACGACAATAGCGTAGACCTCTGAAGACTCGATCCTTGCACAGGAATATAGTGACTTGATAAAATATCAAGGGTCCTTTCGAAGAAGATGTAAATTTGTCATATGTGTGGGAAACAAGGACTACATGAAGTATCAATGGATCCGAAGAGAGGATGAAGGGTCTACATGGCACCTGAAGGATTCTGTACTTTTATCCATTATTGCTCACGCAATTGTCCTTGGAAGCGTTATAACTTTCATTCATGGGACAACCTATACTCCGTTTATCTTGGTTTTCACAGCTCGTAGCTTCTTCTCTCGTGCCGCCTATCCAGGTAAGAAGTCGATTAGACTAAGGCAATGCCGTCAAGGCCAAACCAAGGCTCTCAGTTACATCGATGTTGACTCGAGGTTACCAATCTTTTTTGTATAGTATTCATAAAAGCCTCGAGCAAGTCCCTGGTAGTGTATCGGCTAGTACACGCGCCTGTCATTTGGCCGCGCGAAAGCGGGGTTCGACTCCCCGCCAGGGAGATGATTTTGACGGGGGATAGATTTCATAAATTTCCATCTGCACACGGCTATTAGTATTTTTTTCTTGGTTCGTGATGTAGATAGGCTTGAATTTTTATTATATAGACACAGCATTAAATTCTGATATTCGAAGCCCCGTCGAACCCTTTATAACTGAGACTGCTATCTGATGGTAGTGGTTTTGACATCGTCTCACTAGTTAACCATTTCCACGACGCAGTTTTAATCTGTTCAACCGTTCTCCAGTCAAGGCGTTATACTAAAAAAAGTAACAAAACAACCATATGATAATAAGTTAACTCTGTAAAGAAGTATTAATACAGCGGCCATGGTTACAGTAGTATCGATAGGGATTAAGTCATGATGATGATGATAGCAAAGACGACGAATAATAAAGATGTTTGGTGTACAGCGTTGAGAAGAGGAGATGAGAGAAGAGGAGATGAGAGAAGAGGGGAGAGGGAGGGTGGATCACGTACGTAACGGAACTCCGAAAACTGAGACTACAACGAGTGGTCCGAAAAGAAAAGTGTAAGCAAAACCGTCAAAAGAAAATCATATACATCGAAAGCTCCGTGCTGAACGTTGAACGCTGAGCGTTTCGTTTGAAAGGTGTCCGAAAGGTAGGTGAAAATGAACAACCTCGTCGTCATCAGAAATTCGTGAAGTTTGAGATAGTTGAGCTGAGCAGAGCAGAACAGATGTAGGTCCGAGTCTTGTTTGGGCTTAATCGATCGAATTCCTTTTCTCATCGACATAGGTTGTAGTCGTCGTAGTGGAAATCGTCACAGGTGGCCTCATAACTCCAAGCTCGACATCAGCCCTAGAAACCTGATTATTTTGCTATGAGTGAATGCTGTTGTATGCGATCGCAAACTTGGGTATTTGTTTGGGAAACTTACTTTCATTTGGTTATCTGAAACAGCAGAGATTTCTCGTAAAATCTCGATACGCGACTGTTGAGGAGAAAATTGCAGTAAGTAAACGAATAAGAGATGTACGATCGGCGTGAAGACATACAGGAGCAGGTAATGGCTCGAATGATTCCGCGTTTGTGGAATGTGCACGAGCAATGTTGTGACGGAGGGAACGATGCGAGTTGAAGCTTTAAGAAAGCAACGGTCATTAACAATAGCGTCAAGAACCAAACTGTCACTTACGAGCTAAAGAGAGATGTCGCGTAGACTGTGATATTATCCAAAGTCAGTATCCACACCGAAACTTGCTTATGAACTAGCCACTCACGCTTCATAGCCACAGCCACCAGACCAAGCCATACCCAACTGTCTTTCTTGATGATGAACTAGAAGAAGATGTGAGAATCTCATCACAAATATTCGTGTAATATGAGCTTACAGCAATCAAAGCACCAGCAGACACCGCTCTGAAGAATACGATTCTTGGTCAGGAAGAGAAATAAAACTGAAACGTCGGAATGATCTTACCCAGATAGCAACCAACTTCGAAGGAGGTAGGGGAAGTATTCGAGGAACTTGTTCGCAGTTCTAGTGGCGCACAATGATGAGCATCACATAAGTTAGGACAATGGGTGGAATCATACCTGAACTTAATCTGCTTGCTAGTTTTTGTTTGACGGCGAAGCATAAACTGAACGAAAGCAATCATGACATCGCTGAAAACAGTCAGCCCGAGAGCGATGTAGAGACAAGCCTTGACAAAACAAACCCAGGCATCAGCGATGAGATTCACGTTTGAAAAAAAAATCTTAGCAAACTTACGATAGTCGGGTGAGCGTAATAATCCTGCCAGTCCTCAAAGTGATATCTACAAGTTCCGAAAATCAGCGGGAAAGTTTAGTAATCTCAGTATTGCCTAAAACATACAGCAACCCAATCAAAGCTATGCGAGGTGAAAATCCGGGATTGTTGAGCGCATGTTTGGTATTTTGAATCTAAGCGTGAAACTTACCTAGGTAGGCACCTGCATTGGTTTAGGATCGATTGATGAAACAATGAGCGGGTGTCACTAGAATGATGATTTACGACACTGTATTCACCTGCTCTCATGAACAGAACAATAGCCTTTCGAGGGAGTTAATAAATCATATGAGACGGCTTCGCAGGATCGCGACTCACCAACAAGATCGGGATGACGATTTGGTTTGTAACTGGAAAATATCATTAGGGGGATGTGTTTTGTAATCAAACATAGCAATCTTACGAAGCCAAAGTTTTCGGATGTAGACACTGTAGAAGAAGACATCAGCTTTCTCCGACAACACTGTCTATGGTTGCACATAAATCTGACTTACAGTTGGACCATCGCTACGATAATGGTCTTGGTTTGGTTTGAGCTATATGAACGACATGTGGACAAAAGAACGAAGACTTACCGAAATCGCAAATGCAGCCTATGAATGGGATATTTAACATCTGTGCTCCACAGATAGAATAGTGTATCGCAACTTACCCCAGTACTCCTGCAGATTGATGATCAGTCACTGATTTCGTCAAAATCAAACCATCGCTCACCATAAGAATCGAGCCAGTGCCAGTGGATTTCCGTAATCCAAAACGAGGTAAACGTACAGAGGATAAACAGAAAAAATTGTGTGCAGAAGTTCCAATAGCCTGAATAATAGGAGGGTGAGAAACAGGAAGCAGTATGTTTTGGCTCGTTTGAAAAACAATGCTTACACAAGAATGACGCAGAAGACTTTCATGAACTTGGAATCTTTGGGTGCACTGTACAGAAAATAAATATACGCTTGCATCATCATAATCCCCGTTAACCTGTATCGTAAGGATGCGAGATCAGCTACATCATAGAAAGCAATCGAGAGAATTGAATTCTCTTACCCGGCCGCAATAAATATCAACCATACACAAGCTCCTGCAATAATTCTAACCTGGCCATTAGCAGCTTGAAGGGCTTGAAGAGCGGCAGCCGCTGCCGCGGGATCAGTCGGTAATCCAGTAGACATAATTGATACAGAAACGATAGCGAGATTCAGGGCTGATCAGAATTCGAACGCTATGCAGGGATCGTCTGTAGTCTAACAAAATGAGAACGACCACCGACGATGGAGGAAACTGCAGGAGGGAGGGAGGAAGGGGAAAAGGAACAGAACTCGATTGGAGTCGATAACATCGGGTGACTTATATGCTTTGGCTCTAACGAACAATTAGCTGATAGCTGCTCTTCGTTTCACATACAGTTGCAGTGCTTCTTCATCAAAGCATGGGGACTTTCCAGGGCGATTAATTTCAGCGCTTCTAAGGAGGTTGTACGGGTCAGAATGATCTGGAATATATATGTTGTGTATCAGTGATCCCCGAGACATATTTGCAGCTCAGGTCAAGTTCAGGTTGCCATTCAACTTACCTGTAAAGACGACACCGAGGCTTGACCATGTTTCTGGTATGTTAGTTCCAAGTATCGCAGCCATATGTTCTTCGACTTCGGGTTCTTAGTGAGAAGCCTGAAAGCCTGAGAGATACCACAAACTGAATGAGTGAGAGCTTCCGAAAGAAGGCAGTGTGGACGAAAGCAAAACCGCCATCAAATTGTAGATGCATTGTGTTTCCGGTGGTGCTTACCGGAGTAGACGCGTGTGTATTCACTCCGAGATATGGACGCAGTTTATTGATCATGATCAAACTTGGAAAATCTACCAGGTTTGTGCATTTTCCGAGTCCATTGTGTAGAGAATTGAACCTGAACCTGACCTTGCTGATGTGATGATACTGCACTCGGTGAATTTCAGTGATGTCAAGATACTCAGGCTAGGCTTAATTGAACCATGGAAGCCTGCAAGGCAGTCCGGATTCCTCAAGTTTGTCTTATTGTCCCCGGAGTACCGGGTCATCAGAGAAGACGTGGTTCTATGACTTGTATTTCAGTTCGATATCGTATTTCATTGTTGTAGCGAAGAAAGAGCAGACACATACCCTCTCAATGTCCTATAGAGCTTAGTGCGAAGTGATACTCTTCGCAGTGATGACTAGAGAATGCAGATATATTGAAAATTGAGGTTGTAAGTGAGGGAGGTTGGGGATGGAACCAAGAGAACGCGAAAGACATAGGTCAGCAAATGACAAATGTCTCAGCCAAGTCTCAAACTTGACTTAAAGGCGCCGTCGGTGTCGCAGATCGATTTTTTGATTTGAATCCTTGTGAGACCACACGTACAACGGGGGAACAGAAGCTTAATCATTTCGACTTTGTTTCTGAAGCATAATTTGAGTGGACACACCGCGAGTGAAAAGCTACTTATGAGGTGCTGGTAGCGACAATATGATGGTGGACTTTGGACTATTCATCATAGCTGAGGAATAGTACTGTCCAAAAACGTATTGGTACCATTGACATGACACCATCCGATGCTGTGACTCGGATTCTGCACTGGTAAAATCACAGAAGAGTGAGTTGACCGCCCTCTTGAAGTGATTGTACATGGTACCCGTGATAGCCCAGTTGTTCCTATGCCCTGATGGACTGCTCTCCATCCCGCTGGTAGTCCTGTTATCTGAGTGCTAGTAATAGAGTCCGTCCAGGAGAAAAGGAGAAGTTTGAATCCGAACCGTAAAACACCTCCAGCCCGCACTTCAAATCATCACGGCTTTCCTCAGTGTCACAGAAAGGATAACCTCGGACATTCAGGCACATGATGATTAAACTTCCTATACACATCTGTGAACATGAGGTGATTCACTGCTGAATCGGATATCCATGGATCTTGATACAAGGTTGCTCACCTACAGAATGACCATGAGTCTGTACTGTTGCTTGCATAGAGCTCAACATAAAAACACAGATTCATCAGATGACATATAATCTTCGGAATGGAGAATGAGCCAGGACATGATGCTTACCACTGAAAACAAAAAGAAGCATGTTCACAGCGACATTCGGATACGGGGAATTGAACCCCGGGCTATCGCGTTCAACTGAGAGGCGATAATGTTAGCCACTACACCATATCCGACGTCTGGTGACTGAGACTTAACACATATTGACTGCAAATTATCAGATTTCCC